GACACAACCCTCACCCGGCCAGCCTGGCCAATGGCTTCACTGCTTGTCCCCAGAACTGGGGGAAAAGGGACGTACATGGCACCAAAACACCTCTTAATCCACCCTCTGTGCTCCCAGGATGTTGTGATGGGAACAAACTACAGCAATCCTGGGTTTCTAGGGACAGAAATGGGGCAAATCCTGCGCCCTGCAGGGGTGTGGGGTGAGGGAGAGCACGGGGGACAGTCTCTGCTGGGGCAGGAAGGACATGGTGTGGGGACAACTGGGGCTGTCCCCAGCCCCTGAGGGGCTCCCAGCACCTGCCCTGTCCTGCCCCATCCCTTCTGGGGCTGCTCTGTGCAGGAACTCAGTGCCAGAGGAAGAGGGAAGGGGATGGGGCAACCCAGGGCCTTACATAAAGTGGAGATTCTGCGGCTGCAGGGGGAACGGGCCTGTGCTTCATTAGAAACAAACTCAGTAAATCAGCAACATCTGCGGCCTGCTGGCTGGAGCACCGCCCCGGCAGGGGAGGGAAATCTCCTGTTGTCCTCCCAGATTAAAGGATTTTGCTGTTTGCTCACAGTTTTGTACATGTAAAACGAGCTGGCCCTGACCAGCAGCCTGCCCAAATCGTCGTGTTCCATCTCTGCCCTAAGCCCTTCCAAAACCCTCAACCCAAAGCCCCCAACACAAACCTCTGCCCAGGCACCCACCCAAGGTCTGTCTGTGCTCGCTGCTCTGAGCCCTGCAAGGACACCCCACCTTTGGGAAGTGTTTTTTGGGCCGTCTCAGGGGCAAGGTGGAGCTTGGGGCTCTGACAGCCCTGCCCAGCACCCCACGCTCCCCCAGGCAGGCGGCTGCACTTCGCTGCGTAGTATTTATTCATTATATCAGAAAAGAAAACCTCATTAAATTAGTCCAGGACTCTGCTGGCTGCTCCCAGGCGGGGTCACCCAGTGCCGGGGGGTGGCTGGGGTGGGGATCCAGCATTTCCTCATTTCACAGTGATGGGAGAAGGGGCAGAGACGCCGTCCTGCGGGCCGGGGCGGGCCGGGCCGGCAGCACCCCTCAGACCTCCACCTTCTTCTTCATCTCCATGCGGTAAATGATCTGGTAGCCATCATCCCAGGCGTAGATCTGCCTCTCGCGGGGGTTGTACTTGAGGCTGGCGTGGGAGCCGTAGCGCTTGGGGAAATAGACCAGGGAGGCGTCCTCGGGGGCCAGCGTGCCGCTGACGTCGAAGACGCACTGGACGCGGGCGCGGCTGGGCAGGCGCGTGTTGTACACCACGTGCAGCGCCCCGCACACCACGAAGGCGCCCTCGGCGTTCTCCCGCGGGCACGGCGTGTCCCACATCTGCTCGATGTCCAGCGAGGCGGGGTCCAGCTTGGCCAGGCACATGTTCTTCTCGTCCTCCTTGGTGGCGTAGATGGCCCAGAGGCCCTCCTCGTCCGCCGACACCTCAATGTAGGTGGAGGGGGAGAGGCCGAAGACGGGGATCTGCTCCTCGGCCGGGAACACCGAGCTGTCCACCACTGTCTTGTTGGCCAGGTTGAACTTGATCACCTGGAAGGACAGGCCCTGCTGGCGGATGTAGTAGAGGTGGCCATCGTAGACGAGGTGCCCGGTGCCCACCCAGGGGTAGGGCAGCTTGATGCGGGCGGCCTTGCGGGTGGCAGAGAAGAGGGTGAACTCCCGCATGCGGGGGAAGACGTAAACCGTGTCGTTGGCGGTGCCGTCGAACACGTAGATCTTCTCTGAGTTCCCCGCAGCGTCCTTGGTCCAGAGCCCCGAGGCACTGCCGAAACGCTTCAGGATCTTCATGGCCCTGACACTGGCGATGGTGTCACTGCAGTCTGCAAGAGAGGGGTGGCTGTGAGAGCCTGGGAACAGCCAGGGACTGCTGCTGCCCCGTGCTGGGTTCTCATCCTGTCCCACCCGGACCCTCAGGCAACTGCCTTAGAAATTCACTGAAGGGGTTTAGGTGCATCCCTGGTGGCATCGAGAAGTTCCCTAGTGCACCCATGCCAAGGGCAGGGGAGTCACCCTCACCCCAGCCCTGCACCAGAGGCTTTGGGGATGCACAGGGCTCCAGCCCGGGGCTTGGATGCAGCTCCCAGGCTGGGGAGGATGCAGGAGCTTGTGCCAGAGACATCTGAGATGCCCTGCTGGGACACAATGCCCCAGCCCATGGCTAGGGGACACCTGGACTGGGGTGGGCTGGGAAGGGTCAGGGTAACCCTCAGACAGGACCATCCCCCTGGGGAGCCACGGCAGCCCCTCACCTGTGAGCTTGGTGTACTTCTCGTTCTTCCTCTGCTTGGCTGTGGCCACCTGCTTGTCCATCAGCGTCTCATCCACCTCCACGCAGGGCGGGGCGGGGTTCTGTGTCTCCAGGTAGTCCACCTCCCGCTCCAGCCGGTCCACGCGCACGGCCGCGCTCTCGGCCTCCGCCCGCATCGCCTCCCGCTCCTTCTCGGCCGCCTCCAGCATCCCCAGCACCTGGTTCTTGAAGTCCCGCAGCTCCGTGGAGTAGCGGCTGCTCTGGTCATGCCACTGTGAGATCCTCTCCTGGGGTGGCCAAGGGGACACTGAGGTCTCCAAAGCTCACAGCCCACCAGTGGCAGCTGTCCCAGCCTGCCCAGGCTGGGGGAGACTGTGGAGCCACACGGGGCTCGTGGCTCTGGGTCCCATCCCACCCTTTCCCGCTCCTGTGGTGCTCCCAAACAATGCTCCTGTGCTGCTTCTGCAACATTCCCAGACCCGTGATGCCCATTCCTGCAATGTTCCAAGACCCACGATATCCCCATTCCTGTCCTGCCCCAGATCCACAAGGCCCTGCTCTCCTGTGACACACCCAAGATGCCCCCATGATGGTCCTGAACTCAGAGAGCACCCCAGTCTCCCATGATGCTCCCAGATCATTGATGCCTTCCTTGCTGTGATGACCCTGTGAAGCTCCCAGACCTGCAATGCCCCTGCTTTCCCATGATGTTGCCAGACCTGTGATGTTCCCGTTCCTGTGATGTCCCCATGGCTCTCCCAGACCCACAATGCCCCTGCTTTCCCATGATGTTCCAATTCCCACGATATCCCCATGGTTCTCAGACCTGCCACTGCTCCTTCTTCTGTGATGTTCCCATTCCTGTAATCTCCCCATGGTTCTCCCACACCCACAATGCCCCTTCTCCTGTGATGTCCCCATGGCTCTCCCAGACCCACAATGCCCCTGCTTTCCCATGATGTTGCCAGACCTGTGATGTTCCCATTCCTGTGATGTCCCCATGGCTCTTCCAGACCCACAATGCCCCTGCTTTCCCATGATGTTCCCAGGCCCGTGATGTTCCCGTTCCTGTGATGTCCCCATGGTTCTGATGTTCCCATTCCCGTGATGTCCCCACGGTTCTCCCAGACCCTGCTATCCCTATCCGCCTGTTCCTCAGTGCTCCCACACCCATCTTGCTCCCCTGTATCCACAGCTGGGCTGTGCAGGACCCCGGCAGGGGCTGCCAGGTCTCCCCACACCCTGCTCCGTCCCCACCCCAGCTCCTGCTCACCCACCCCGCTCCCAGCCCCGCCGGCCTCCACGGAGAAGGAGGAGGAGAAGGGTTGGGATCGCCGCCACGGGGCGATTGGGGGTGCGGGGCGGGTGCGGGGCCCCGCTCGGGGCTGTACCTCCAGGAGGGTGATGCGGCGCTCCACGTACTCCATGAACTGCTGCTGCTGGGCGCGCAGGGCCGGGGCGAGCAGCGGCAGCAGCAGCAGGCAGCGCCAGGGCCCCATGGCCGGCAGCGGAGCAGCCTCCAGCTCAGTGCTCAGGAATGCTCCGGCCTCCCCAGCCCTTATTGCATCCAGATGTGCACAGGGAGGGGAGGCTGCTCCTTCCCCGCAGACCAGCCCCGGGCTCTTTAACCCCTTCGTGCCCCGCCCGGCGCGCTGCCCCCGAGCCGCGGGGATGGGGCAGGAGGCTGGGGACGGGCTGGGGACAGGAATTTGGGGTGCGGGGAGCACCGCAGGAGCCCCGAGCGAGAGGACACGTCCTCATGAGCCGTACTGTGGGGACAGCGAGGGGACAGCCCTGGCTCTTTGTCCGCAGAGGTGCCCAAAGCCAGCGGCCAACCTGAGCCTCGGCCACGTCCAGGTCTGGGGACAGGGATATCCCTGGGGACAGGGAGGGTGCCAGGGCAGCGGGTTTGTCCCCTGGGCAGGGACAGTGCCGGCACAGTGGGTTTGTCCCATGGGAAAGGGACAGTGCCAGTGCAGCGGGTTTGTCCCCTGGGCAGGGACAGTGCCAGTGCAGCAGGTTTGTCCCCTGGGCAGGGACAGTGCCGGCACAGCGGGTTTGTTCCCTGGGTAGGGACAGTGCCAGTGCAGAGGGTTTGTCCCCTGGGCAGGGACAGAGCCAGCTCAGCGGATTTGTCCCTGGGGATAGGGAAGGTGCCAGGCAGCGGAAGGGACAGGGATGCTGCCCCGGGGCCGTGTTTCAGATATAAAGGAGGGTATTCACGGCCCGGCAGAGCTCGGGCAGCCTGGACCAGATGTCTCCGGGCAGGCACTCCACGGTGTCCGGCAGCCCCGGGATCCTGCGGGCAGATCTTGCAGGTGAAAGTCACCCTGGATCCCACCGGGAAGCTGATGGAGGGCCTGGAGTGGGTCATGGCAGGAGGGGGCCCACAGTCACCTGCGGCAGGAGAACACCTCCTCAGGTGAGGAGCCTCTTCTCTGGCCCCAGCTGTCACTCACAGGCTCCGGGAGAGCCCCCTGGTCCTCCTGCCCCAAGCTCCTTATTTGTGTTGCTGTGTTCCTGTTTTGTGCTGAGGCTGGCAGTGAGCACTGACCAACAATTATTGTTAGCATTTGCCCACCAAAAACTGGGATGTGGAAGATGACACCAGCTCGGATATTTGGCATGGCCAGGAACCTGTTTGAACCCAGGGATGAGGTGAGGCAGCCTTTACAATTCACTTCTTGTGAGCTGCCCTTACCCAGACAAACAGAAATCAGAGCTGGATGGACAGAAATCAGGTTTAACATTTATTGCCACCACTGTTTCCAGCAGAGTGCAAATGTACCCAAACCCCAGCTGGACCATGGCAGCAGCAGAACCTTCAGAGCCAACTCTGGGCTCATCTCAGCTTTTCTGGACTTCACTCCTTTTTGCTTCAGCTTACCACAGTTAAGACAGTTATTTTTAAAAGCTAAATTTAATTTCTTTCTATTCTTCCAAATATGAAACTTGAAACAACTTATTAGTAAAAGAGCAAATCAAGCTTGTAGGTTAGAGCAAAACCCACTCCCTGCTCTGGCATCCAGCACAGCAAAAGCAGCCTCCCATGTACTGGTGATTATTTTTCTGGCTCCAGGCATGCAAACATAAACCATAAAATCACCCAGAGCCTTTTTAGAGATGCTGTGACTGCACAAACTGTGAGCTCACCAAAGGAAAGGTGAGTGTTACAGGGATCCAGTTTCATTTCAGTTTTCTAGTTCCATCTCTAGTTTTTTAATCTCCAGGAACAGTTTCTGTATTTCCAGCAGACTTTTCACTTTTTCTACAGGCATGCCGCAATCAAAGGTCGATTTAATGTAATGAACCTCTTGACACACATCAGCATCACCTTCTTTCATCTGTTAAACAGGAAAACAAACCCCAGAAAAGCCTGTGAGGATGGACTGCAGCAGACACAGAGCCACCCACAGGGGCTGCATCCTCCTCGGGACCAGAAATGAAAAGCTTTTGAGAAGTTTAAGCAGTTTTCATGTTAGAAATCAGGCAGCATCCACTCAGAAACTCTGCCAGGCTCAGAAACCTGAGACTCTGAGCACCTGGGAAGGTTGAACCATGGCAGGGTGGAAGTGGATGATCTTTAAGACTCCCCCCAACCCAACCATTCTGTAATTTCGTGGTACTCACACACTTGGGCAGTGGTGTCCAGCTGCCATCAGGCAAGCACGTGGCTGTCCAAGCATTTTCCATCATTCCATCATCTGGAAACTGGTAGCCAGGAAGGCACTCCAAGGTGACAGTCTCGTTGATCTGGTACCACTTTTTGTCACCCAAAGGGCTCTTCAGCCTTCCAAAGGGCACACGTGGCTGTGGACACAGGACTGGAAGGAAAACCCAGGGCAGAAGGCAGCTCAGCTAGAGGTCAGAAAGTAGTTTGGGAAGGCTGAGCCAGTGCAGAGGAACTTAAAATTGTGGAGGTGTGAAATCAAAAATACTTCTCTTCAAGAAGAAGGTGAAGGTCAGAGCAGCCCCTGCGAGGGGCTGTGAATTCCTTATGGATTTGCTGGTTTTGGCACTGTCTCGATCCAGGCATCCCCACGGTGGGGATGGACATTTGGCAATAAGGGAAGGGAAAGTCAGTGAACTCCTGACCTGTCTTAGACCTCCTTTACACACAGCTGTCAATAAAAACTCAACTATTACCTGGAAAATTCCAGCTTTGGGAAGGTTCTTCTGCAAAGAGAAGAAGGACTCAGGAAGCCCCAAGGACAGACAGAAACACCCCAAGCCCTCTGCTGTGCCCCAGGGGCCACAGTCTGAGCAGGGAGATTTTGGAAGCACCCCTAAATGCCCATCACATTTGCAGTAGAAGGGCACAGCTTCATTCACCCATACCACAGCTTGTTAGTGAATCACTACATCCTCCTGCCGTGGGGGTTTGGGACACTGAACTGAAAGGAAAATGCACATTAAAAATCCAGGAACAGGAGGTGGAGGAGAAAATGCTCACTCACCTGGCTGGCAGGTGGGCACGGGCGGGTCCCAGGTGCCATCAGCCTGGCACTGGCTCTGGGTAGCACCACGCAGCCCAAAGCCTTCCTCACAGGAGAAGTGCAGGAGCAGCCCGTAGGGAAAGGTGAACATCTGTGGGGTCATCCTTCCCCTCTCCACCACGGGCTTGGGGCACCGAACCACTGCGGGACAGAGCAGAGCTGGCACTGGGGGCTGGGGACAGCAGAACCCGGGCAGGGCTGCTCCTCCCGACCCCCCGATGGCCCCCGGTGAGGAGAACCAGCGTCTGGCACTTCCACAGGGATCATCCCCCCTCCTGTGGAGGAAGCAGCATCTGCAAGCAGCCCTGCTCGCTTTGTTCTGAGTGCTGGCAGTGCCCCTAGGGCTGGCTCAGCCTGATGCCGTGCCCTGATGCCATGGTGACCCCAAAGCACTCACCCCTGCACTCCGGGGCAGGCCCACTCCAGGTCAGGTTCTCCCCATCCTCGGAGGTGCAGTAGAGGGACTTGTCCCCGATGAGGGACAGCCCCTCTGCACAGCTGTACTTCACTTCAGAGCCGTAGGTGAACTGCCTGAAGCCCATGCCAGAGTGCTGCCCGTTGCTGATGGTGGGAGGGGGACCACAGACTGTGAGAGTAAAGGGAAAAGTCAGGCTTTCCTCATTCCATGGGGGAGGCAGAACGCAGAGAGGTAACAGGAGAGGCAGGTTCTCTGTGTTCATGCCAAGTGTTGCTCTCCTCACAGTCCTCCTTTCCTCTGGCCAGCTTTGGCCATGGCTGTGCCAGTGCCCCCAGTGTGACCCAGCCGAGGAGCCCACCCTCGGCACAGCCCCAGCACTGCAGCGTCTGTCCCCTCCCCTTCAGCCCCGTCCTTATCCTCTCTCTTTTCCATCCTGCTCCTAAGCAAGGTCAGGGAATGGTAAACATCACAAACCCCTTGAAGAATCCTTTCAGAAATGCAAGTCCCATTAACCAACACATTTCACCAGTTTTGGTGGAAGATGGAAATGCCAAAGCCCTTCCCTGCTGTGGCTTGGGCACCTTCTCCTCACACCTCACACGGTTTTGTCCCTGCTGTCCCTCCCCACGGCCGGAATTCCCAGCCCTGCTGCCGCTGTCCCCACTCACCCCTGTCACAGTGGGGCACGGGGGGTCTCCACATCCCGTCAGAGGAGCACTGGACCCTGTCGCTGCCCCGGAGCATGAAGCCGTGGTCACACTGGAACTCCACCTGCACCCCAAAGGCGTACTCGGCTCTCCTGGGGCTGCTCTCTGTCCCGTGGGCGATGGCCGGGCTGGGACACTGCACCTCTGGGGGACAGCACAGCAGAGAGCAGAGCTTTGCACAGAGGCATTCCCAGCAGCCGTGCTTTCCCGAGCCAGCCGAGCTGCCAGACACCTCTAGGCAGAGCTGGCAGGCTCAGGGATGGCAATTACAGGGTAAGAAGCGCTTCTCTTGGAAGGCAGAAGGATGTGAGAGCCCTGGCATCAGCCAGAAATCGCGCTGGGGGATGGCTCGTCACTGGCTGCATCCCTGAATCCTTGTGGAGCCGCTAAATAACCGGGGGGAGCTGCAGCTTTTCCTATCCAGGCACGCCACCTTTTGAGCAGCGAAATTACTGCCAGGCAGAGCCGAAGGTGCCGCAGAAAGCCCGGCCGGGCCGGCACACGTCATTTATTAAAAAAATCCGGATATTGATCTAGTACCGATATCCGACTGTGACCGACAAAGACTCTCTAACAGTTTAAAGTTAGAAAGTGTGTGTTTATTGCGACGCCAGGCAGCGTGTGGGATAGCTCCCAAATACACACGGCAATTCACAGGTGATTAGAGTCCTTTTATCTGTACAAGGGTTGAATACCCAAAATATAAATACATATTCTTCATTTTGGCAGAGCAGGGACAGCACAGAGCCTCAGCATTGCCCCAGTGACAAAGCAGGGCACAACACAGACCCTCAGCATGGGGAGCTTTTTTTCCTTGGTGGAAAACTTCAAAAATAAGTGAGGGACAGCAGCACCCCTGAGCTTGGCTGTGCGGGTGAAGAGAAAGGGAAAAACAGTGAGGAAAATTCACTAGAGAATGTGAACTGAGTGGGAATCTTCCTTCTCGTGTGCTTTGGTACCTCGTGGGTGTACCCTGCAGGAAGGGACAGCCCTGCCACGTTCCCCAGGGTGATCCCAGAGGGAATTCACAGAATCACTGGGTTGGAAGAGACCTTCAAGATTATGGAATCCAGCCCAGCCCAACACCTCAACTGAACCCTGGCCCCCAGTGCCACATCCAGGCTTTGTTAAACACACCCAGGGGATGGTGACTGCACCACCTCCCCGGACAGCCATTCCAGAACTTTATCTATTAAAAACTTCTGTAAAAACTTTTCCTTTCTGTAAAAAATTTCTTCCTAACATCCACCCTATATTTCCCTTGGGGCAGCTTGAATCCCACCAGCCAGCAACACTCCTGGTGATGCCCACCCTCCAATCCCCTGGGACAGAGTGAAAATTTTCCAGAGTAGAAATCTATGTTGGTTTAGGTGAAATGCATATCTTTGAATTAAGTCTGTAGCTTGCAAACACAGCTGTTTAGTCTGTCTGTTCTCGCAAAAAGCCTTTGCTTGGAGAAACTGCTTCAGCCAAAAGACAGAGATGAGGGAGGGCCCCTTAAACTCTGAAATAGATGGAAATGCTGCTGCAGGAGGCAAGGCAGGATGACCTAGAAGTTCTTTTTGATAAAAAAAATTAGCAGCAAATATAATGCAAAATCAGTAAAATAAATATGTATGAACCTATTGTGCAATTGCATGTACATGTATTAGAGAGGGAGATAAGAAAGGATCTGGAGTTCCCAGAGGCACGCATGTCATTTTAAAGAGAACAATCCCTGTCAGAACCCAGGACACCCCTCTGGGTGCCCCTGGCAGGGGGCTGGGGAGTCCTGGCAGGAAGCCAAAGACACCTGGGATTTCCATCTTAACCCATGGAGCAAATGACCAACAATACCCACAGAGACAGAGCTGTGTAGTGACTGCAGCGACTGAGGCAGGGGTTTGGGGGTTGATAAACATCCTGAGCAGCCTTCAGTAGGACCCCAGACCTGTAGGGTTTCCTTTCCACACAATCAAAACCTTCCCTGCCCTTCCCTTGGACCCTTGCTCAGGCAGGGCACAAGTGACTCAGCTCAGGTGGGTGACTCCAGGTGCAACAGCCTGACAGAAAAAAAATTAGGCTCTACAACAACTGCATGGCCTCTGTCACACCTGCCCATCACCAGTGTCCCCACGAAAAACTCCTCTTTCCATGTCTCCCATGAGAAATATCTGGGGGCTTATCACAAATAACAGACAAAATGAAACTCCGGCAGCTCTAACTGGGGTTTCTTCATGCCTGGCAGGTCACCAAGACAGAGTTAAAAACGTGTCAGAACATCCTGGTCCACATCCAGGTGCTGCAGCATCCCACACCTGCACTGTGCCAGGGCAGTGCCACCCATGCTGCCTTTGGTGCCATCCCCATGGAGAATATCTTGGAAAATATCTTCTTTGTGTCTCCTCCACGTTAATTATTGGCACCTCATTAGCAATGTTTGGCTTTGGCCAATGGACTGAGAAGCATCAGGAAGTAAAAGCAATAAATATTAAGAATAAAAGCAGTGTGCACAGGCAGTGCTGGTGCAGGGCTGTGCACCCTGGAGAAGTTTCTGGAAAGGTTTGGGTTTAACTGAATCCCCAACTTCCAGACAGAAACTGCTGCTTATTCCCCTTCCCAGAGACATTCAGCACTCAGCAGATTTCCACTTCTCCAGTTCTGAGGTCAGCCTGGGGGACGCCGGGCCATGCCCCAGCTGCCTTGGGCAGCTGTGGAGGCTGCCCCAGGGCTGAGGCATCACAGAATCAGTCAGAGAATCAGGGAAGGACATTATGGAAGGGACATTAGAGTTGGAATTCAAGGGATATAAAAGCTGGAATGGAAGGGACATTAAAGTTGGAATGGAAGTGATATAAAAACTGGAATGGAAGGGACATTAAACCCCATCCTGGGCAGGGACACCTCCCACTGTCCCAGGCTGCTCCCAGCCCTGTCCAGCCTGGCCTTGGACACTTCCAGGGATCCAGGGGCAGCCCCAGCTGCTCTGAGCACCTGTGCCAGGGCCTGCCCACCCTCCCAGGGAACAATTCCTTCTTAACACCCACTCTAACCCTGCCCTAATTCACCCTAAACCCATTCCCCTTTCCCTGCCAGGCCATCCCTGGTGCAAAGCCCCTCTCCAGCCTTCCAGGAGCCCCTTCAGGCACTGAAGGCTCTACCAGCTCTTCCCAAAGCCCCTGTGAAAGGAAAGCAGAGCCCCAGAAGCTGAGGAGGGAGGGGGGGACACTCACCCTGAGTCCCCGTGGGCTGCAGCCCCAGAAGCAGCACTGCCAGGAGCTGCCCTGGCCCCAGGAGCCCGGGCATGGTGTGGGCTGGGAGCTGCCCTGGGAAGGAGAGATCCTCACCCCTGAGAGCCTGCCAGGGAAGGGGAAGCAGCAGTGGGAAGTTGGGGACGGGGACACGCCGCTGACACCACCCCCAGCCTGGGGTGTGCGTGCAGGGGATGTGCTCTGGGCACAGGGGGACTGAAGGTGGTTTACAGCTCAAACTGCTCTGCAGCAGCCTGGCCTCGTGTCTGAAGCAGGTTTACAGCCAGGGCTGCTGTGGAAACATCCCCCAAACGCCTGCACTCATGGAACAGCACCTAACTGAGCTGTTGATTTACATATACTATAAATAAACCTATTTGTTATAGACACTTTGTATATTATTTGTACTGCATACATATTACAAAAATACTTCCCTTTACTACAGTTAGGACAGATTATTAAAACCCAGACAGAGCTGCCTTTACAATATCAGGTTTATTTTAATCTCTGGTCCCATCACAAGACACGTGGCCTGCACAATGCTTCTCCTTTTCTGGATGGTGCAGGAAAAAAAGTTCAAAACCATTCATTTCTTTCTGTACACTGTTGTTTGTCCTTGGGGCACACACGGAGATGTGGCACTTCTATCCTGCTTGGGAGGAATACCTGGCATTTTTGCTTTGCTAGGACAGAGGCTTTGAAGTTTTCTTGGTGATAAGAAAAGTAATTAGGCAGTGAAGGGATTGTTCCCACTAATGAGTGCAGCCTGAACTGGGCAGCACTGGGATGGACTGGAGAGGTGCAGCAGCTGCAGTGAGTGGCTCTCACCACGTTCATGCCTGTTTCTACCACCAAAATTCACTTTCCACTCAGTTCCTTCCTATCTGTGCACTGCCACTGTAGCAAACAGATCTAAATGTGAAGCTTTGAAAGGTAAAGTGATCCACAAACTGAACCTGGTGAGCTCTAAAAACTGACTCACAAGTCATTGACTCCTTATGTGACCAAATCCATGGCCAATTGTTAAATTTTGTCCTGGCTACTTCAGCATTAGCACAAATTACAAAGCGATAAAAATCCTCAGTCAGCATCATGATCCAACACTCAGAGGATGGTTCTTACAATCCCAGTGCCATCAGTCAGCTTTAGGTGGTGATTTTTAGCTCCTTTTCAAGTTTCTGGATCTCCAGGAGGAGCTTCTGGATTTCCAGCTGGGTTTTCAGATCCGACAGAGGAATTCCACACTGGAAAGCTGCTTTGTTTCGAAGAACCCTCTCACACACCTCACTTTTCCTCTTAAAAAGAACCAAAACAAAAGGCAGAGTGAGACTCCAGCGCAGGGTGACAAAGCAACTACCCTCATGAAGCTGGACCAAAGCTATTCCAGGCTACAAATGGGGCAAGAAACAGGAAAAACGGGGCAGCTGGTGGTACTTACACACATGGGTCGTGGTGTCCAGGTGCCATCAGCTGAGCAGGTGGTTCTGGAAGGTGCCCTTGCGTGCCCATCACGTTTGCAGTAGAAGGGCACAGTTTCATTCACCTCATACCATAGCTTGTTGAAGTGAACCACCACGTCCTCCTGCCTCGGGAGGCTGGGGCACCGAACTGAGGGGGAAACACACACACAAAAAAACCAATAATGGGAGGAGATGGAGGAGAAGACACCCTGCAAACTCTCTCTGTGACCCAGCAGGGCAGGGCTGTGCAGGGCAGGGCTGGCACTCACCTGGCTGGCAGGTGGGCACGGGCGGGTCCCAGGTGCCATCAGCCTGGCACTGGCTCTGGGTAGCACCACGCAGCCCAAAGCCTTCCTCACAGGAGAAGTGCAGGAGCAGCCCGTAGGGAAAGGTGAACATCTGTGGGGTCATCCTTCCCCTCTCCACCACGGGCTTGGGGCACCGAACCACTGCGGGACAGAGCAGAGCTGGCACTGGGGGCTGGGGACAGCAGAACCCGGGCAGGGCTGCTCCTCCCGACCCCCCGATGGCCCCCGGTGAGGAGAACCAGCGTCTGGCACTTCCAGAGGGATCACATCCTGTAGCCCCACATTTCTCTTCACAGAGAAAAGCAAGGCCCAATTCTTCCCAAGAATATTTCTAGATTTCACATTCTCTGAACATCAGAGAAAGAAAATTATTTATATTTTTTATTTTATTTAAGTTCAGCCATAAGAAAACACAATTCTTATCATCTGCTGTGCCTGTGTTTGTGCAAAAGTAGAATGCAATATGGAGATTGTTCACCCAAAGTGATGGTGTTCTGTTTCCTTGGCCTAGCAGGGCCAAGAGTGTGTGTGTGTGTGGGGACTGTTGGGTGACAGTCACGAGATTCAGTGCAGCGTGAGCAGCTGTGTGCAGGGCTGAGTGCTTGGCAGGTTCAGTTTCAGATGTATAGAATAATACAATAAAGTAATTAATTAGCCTTTTGATAAGATGGAGTCCTCCTTATCATTCTGCCTCCCCCTCATCGGGGTTCCCAGCACAGCTGTAACCTCCCCTCCTGTGGGAAGCAGCATCTGCAGGCAGCCCTGCTTGCTTGAACCCCGTTGTTCTGAGTGCTGGCACTGCCCTCAGGGCCTAACACCTCATGTGTGGAGACACAAGGCTTGATTCCATTTTCTCAGAAGACTGATTTATTATGTTATATATGATACTAAAATGCTACATAAAAACTATACTAAAAGAACAGAGAGAAAAGATGATCAGAAGGCTACAAAGAACAAGAACAGAATAGGATGCATAACAAAAATCCTGTGACTGCTCACAGCCTCAGGTGGCTGTGATGGGTCATCAACTGAAAACAATCCATGTGGATCAATGGAAGATGCACCTGTTGATTCCATAGCAGCAGAGAGTTATTGTTTACATTTCTCTCCTGAGGCCCTCAGCTCTCAGGAGGGAAAAATCCTAGGAAAGGATTTTTAATAAAATGTCATAGCTACACCCTGATGCCACGGTGACCCCAAAGCACTCACCCCTGCACTCCGGGGCAGGCCCACTCCAGCTCAGGTTCCTGCCATCGTCCGAGGTGCAGTAGAGGGATTCGTCCCCCACCAGGGACAGCCCCTCTGCACAGCTGTAGGTCACCTTGGTGCCATAGGAGAACTCCTTGCCATCTCTGCCAGAGTGCTGCCCAAAGGGGATTTGTGGAGGGGGCCCACAGACTGCGGGAAAAAGGGAATTGAGGAAGAAAGACATGTGCAGTGCAGTTATCACCTTCAGGTGAGAGCCAAAAGCGTTTCTGTGAAATCAGCACAAAGTTCGTTTCATGGTTGGTGTGAGGCAAATTCACAAGGAGCTGCTGCCTGGATTCTGGCCTCTTACAGCAGCTCAGGGCCACAGAAATATCAGAATAGTTCCAGTGGTGGCCTCCCCAGTCCTGAAGTGTTCAAGAGACACATGGATGTGGCACTGGTGGGATTCACTCAAAGCCTGCACCTGATGATGTTGGAGGTCTTTTCCAACCTTAATGATTCTAATTGCAGCTCTGGGAGGGGACACCTGGCTGAGGTTGTGTCCTCAGGAGCAGGTGCTGCAGGCAGGTCACCCACTGGTGGCAGGAGATCTCTTGTCCCCTGTGTGTCACACGTACCTTTGTCACAGAAGGGCACCTCGGGCTCCCAGCTCAGATCAACCCCACAGGTGATGGACTCGGAGCCCCTGAGGGCAAAGCCCTCCTCACAGGCCAGCCTCACCTGGGCCCCCACTGTGTAGTCACTGCTGCTTTTATAAACCTCCTTTCCATGAGGGATGTCTGGCTTTGGGCAATGTGGTTCTAGAAATAATGGAAAAGAAAGGATGTTGTGTGATTCCAAAAAGAACTCCAGTCATGTTTTCTATGGAGAACAGCTACCAACAAATCTGAGCCGTGGCAGAAAGTGACCATCCCCCAGGTGCAGGTCTCAGGCTGCCTCCGTAACCCTGAAGGGTCAGTGCAGGGAGTTCTCCATGCTCTAATGCTCCCTGCCCTGGGAGGTGGAGCAGGTTTTTCCCTCCTGCCTAGGTTTTCCTGAGTTTTTGGGGATGTTGCTGTGGTGCTGGGTCAGGAGATGAGCAGTGTCAGCTATTTACTCATTTTCTCCTGAGAGGGGAAATGCCTTGGGAACATCCTCTGCTCCCCAGCCTCATGTCAGCAAGGCAGCCCCAAACACAAACCACATCCCCTTCCAGCTGGGTAAATGTCTCACAGGGTTCCTCAGGAACCTCCCAAGCCTCCAGAAGCTTCCAACACACCAGCCCTGCACCCTCCAGACACCAGCTCAGCCCTGCCAAAACCCTGCCCTTTTTCCACGGAGCCCATCTGGACCTTTTGCTGCCTGTATATTCCACATTAGCCCAGGAGAAATAAACCTGGGGCCACCTGGAGTGGGGGAAAATTCTCCATGGCTTCTGTCACGCTCATCCCTCCACCCTGTCCCACCTGGAATGCACTCTGGCACTGCTGGATCCCATCCACCATCGTTGCCACAGTGGAGGGTGACGCTGCTGCCACGGCCTTTGAAAGCAAATCCTTCATTGCACGCCACCTCCAGCCTGTCCCCGCTCTCATAAACCTCCTTCACTTGCCACAGGTGCAAGGGCCTGCCATTTGGGATGTGTGGATCTGGGCAAGGAATTCCTGGGAAATGCCAAACATCAGCGAGGGTGAAACCACAGCAAAGCCAAGCGGGTGACAGGAAAGTTGTTGAGAAGACAAGGATGGATGGACAGACACATCAGGGCATTAAATCTGCCCCAAAAGCATTCCTGGGCTTTCCTGGGGGGTGGAATGTTGGTGGTGCACCCTCAAGACCACAGTGGGTGTTTTCCAGAGGTTCAAGGGGCTGTAAAGCAGAGCTGGCAAATAAAGCAAAGCCAACTCTGCAGCTGGGGAATAAATCAAAGGAATTCCAGGGTCAGCAAAGACCAAGCTGGGCCCTGGAGCATCCCCCTGTCCCCCAGGCTGTCCCACCCCACATGCAGCTCCTTCACACGTTCTGGCAGTCACAAGCAAGCCCAGGCACTCACTTTCACATGGAGCTGGGGCTTCGCTCCACACAAAGTCCTGCAGGCAGCTGATGTTCCAGGTGGTTTTCCCTGCTCGGAACTGGTGGCCCTGCTGGCACTCGTAGGTGACCACGGTGCCCACAGGGAACAGATTGCCAGCCAGCCTGGTTTTCATGGCATTCCTCACATCTGGGGGGTCATCACAGCTGCCTGGGGGTGAGACAGCAGTTTAGGGACAGTGCTGCATCACAGGGCCTGGCATGGAGGGAATTTGGGTGAAAACCACAGGTTCCCATTGTTCATTCTGAGATGTATTGAATCATCCAGGTTCAGAAAGGGGAAAGAGGGAATGCAAAAGAGATAAATTAAGATATACATTTTTTTTTTTTTCCCCCTGGAGAGAGATTTTTCACAAGGGCATGGGCTGACTGGACAAGGGGGAAGGGCTTTAAGATGAAGGAGGTTGGGTTTAGATCAGATATTGGGAAGAAATTCTTCCCTTTGAGGGTGATGCCCAGAAAAGCTGTGGCTGCCCCAACCCTGGAAGTGTCCAAGGAGAGGCTGGACAGGGCATGGAGCAAACCTGGGCTAGTGAGAGGTGTCCCTGCCCATGGCAGGAGGTGGGTGGGATGGCCTTTAAGGTCTCTCCCAACCCAAACCATCCCAGGACTGCAAGTTTGTACCGCATGGTGATTTTCACTGTTATAACAATCTGTCATTTCCGATCAAGCCGACGCTCCCTGAGCATGGGGGGTCCCAGGGGTGCTGTCCCTGACACTCACTGCGCTGGCACAGGGGCAGGGGGGGCTCCCAGAGGCCGCTGTCCCTGCAGGTGGAGGCCGGGCTGCCGCTGAGGCTGTAGCGGAGGTCACAGTCGAACACCACCGTGTCCCCAAAGCTGTAGTCAGGCTGGTACCTGCTCAGCAGCTTCCCATTCTCCACTCTTGGCTGCTTGCAGGTCACCACTGTGCCAGGGGAAGCACACAGGGAAGGAGCAGTTAGGCTCCAGCTAGGAGATATGAGGGTTATGATATTGTCCCAGATTGCAAGGCAGGGTGTGTTCTATTTGCCATCTGTCAGAGGTGGGGCAGTTGTCTTCTGTTAATTGGGCAGGTTTTCTTCATCTCTTCCACAACCAATCCTCCCTCCAGAGAGACATCTGCTGATAACAGGCTATTGAATATCACTGCATGACTGATAAAAATTACAGAATCCCATTGGGAGATGTGAGCCCAGGGGAGGAGCCAAGCATTCCTACCTGGATAGAATCTGAGATTCTGGAACACCAGCACGGCTTCTCCACTGGATTTCCCAGAGGAACAGCAGCTGCCTCTTCCCCTGGATCTTCAGAGGAAGACTCCACCCTTCTACAGGATCCCTGCTCCAGCAGAACCACCCCTGACACTGCAGGAGGGCTGCAGCCACAATTCCAATGGGACTGCTGCCAACACCCTGACCCACAGGGTGTCAGGTTGTGTTCTGACTCTGTCAGTGTTGTTTTAATTTACTGCATTGTTTATTTTATTTTTTTTTCCCCTAACAAATAACTATTATTCTTGCTCCCATATTTTTGCCTGAGAGCCTTTAATTTCAAATTTATAACAATTTGGAGGGAGGGGGTTTACATTTCCCATTTCAGGGGAGGCTCCTGCCTTCCTTAGCACACGCCTGGCTTTCCAAACCGAGATATATGGGATATGAGGGTTTTGAAAAAGCCCCCATCACCTTTTCCAGAAGGACTTAAAAGGGCCAGGGCAGCAGCAGGGTGGTGTGGTGCTTTTGTACATCTTGCCCCATGTTACAGCACGGGTTTTTAAGGCAAAGCCTAAAGAGAACCCAGGGGAGCAGGTTTGGGAACTCTTTGCAGCTGTTCTCTTTCACAGCAGGGAGAGGGATCCCCTGCCCTGTGAGCACAGTAAAATCCCATCCCACCTCCCTGCTGACACCGTGACCGTGAGGGGAGACCCCAATTCCTGTCACACTCAGGGGGTCCCATCTGCAAGAGGTGATTCCACTCCAGCAGGATGAAGAGGAGAGGAGGTTCCAAGGGAGGAAACAGCAGAGCAGGAGCAGTCAGCAGTGCAGGGGATGGTGCTGGGCTGTGGGAGCAGCTCACCTTTGCATTCTGGAGCTGGGCTGCTCCACACACCGTTCAGGTTGTCCCTGCTGGTGCAGAAAATGGAGGCCTCTCCCAGCAGGGAGAAAGGTCTCTGTCCCCTCCTGGTCCTGTGGCACTGGTAGGTGACAGAGTCCCCATACTCAAAATGCTCCTTGTCCATCCCACTGTGCTGCCCATTCGCTATTTCTGGAGGGGGTGCACAGGGAATTGCTGTGGAAGGAGGGGAAGATCATCGTGGGAATGAGAAGAAGAGAAAAAATTAATTGATTAGTTTTAAACCAAAGATCTGGCCAGAAAAAGGTGGAAACAGGAGGTAGCAGGAGGGTCAGAAATCAAAGGCAGATCTTGAGGAGCAGCACCAGCCCCAAGCTCTGGCTGGCACTGAGAGGGTTTGGGATATCCCAGGCTCAAATGCAGCTGCTTCACTGCCAGAGAGTGAATGAACATTTCTGCAGGAAGGGAAACACAGATTAAAAATGTCTTTCTAGGCTCCACCATGCCAAAATCCTGAGCAGATGCCAAACTGCAGATGCCACTGAGATGTCAAAATCCTCAGCAGAGGAACACAACAGCCTCTTTATCCAGCCCCAGCCACATCCCAGATAATTAAAGAGTAGATAATTAAGAAACTCTGCTTACCCTGACAGGTGGGAATATTTCTGTTCCAAGTAAGAACCTCATTTCTGAGCACACATTCAATCTCAGAGTGTCCAATCAGTCTGTACCTGTGTGAGACGGGGAGAGGGAATTACTCCACAGACTCAGTCCTGATGTGTTACCCACATCACCACCAGCAAGGTTTGGGCTCCTTTGTCAGAATTCCAGCAGACCAGAGATTGGTCAGAAAGTGTCACTTTCTTGAGGACACCCTGGCTTTTGACAAAAACATTTTTTTTAAATTTAAAAAATGACACGTTTCTAAGTAAATTAATAAACTTCATCAACTACTTACAGCTCTAAGCTCAGTATTCACATTTTTCCTTCAAAAGGACACTGAAACATTAGGAATGGTTTGAAAAGAGCCAGGAGGCTGAACCTGAGTTTGGGAAGAACTGCCTCAAAGCAGGAGATTAAGACACTCACAGTCAGTCCTAAAGCTCCCAAAGGAAAGCTTAAAAGGTATTTCAGTCAGGGTCTGCAATTACCTACATGGGGGAGGCTCTGACAGTAAAGGGGGGAAAAAACTTTGGAAAACTGTCTGGAGAGGAAGAAGCCCTGTGGCCCAGGTGCTCCTGGCTTACCCAGTGTTGCAGGTGAAGTTCACTTTGGAACCAAAAGTGAACGCTCCAGGCAGGACCAGTCTGCCATTGGCCGGCTCCCCGGGGTAGCTGCACACCTTGGCTGGGGACAACAGGGCTCCAGTCAGCTCCCAGCTCAGTTCTTGGCAGGAGAGCCAAAGGGTCGCCCAGTTCTGAGCCAGGGGATGGAGCAGAGACCTCCAGATGTCCCCTCCAGCCCGAGGTTATTGTGTGACTGACGGTGCTGGGCAGACCTGCCTCGTGAGCTGCTGCCCCTGGGGTCTGCAGTGACCTGGGGCGGCGTCTCTTCCCAGCTCAAGGACTCTCCCTCTGCAGCTCCAATGCTTTTCTAGACACAGAGGCTCAAAATGCCTGAGCAGAAGGACATCCTCTGAGTCAGCAGTGAAGCACAGCCGGCACCAGGGGTGATTTCAGCTCCTGCCATCCCTGCCAGCACCCAGAGGAACAGAGCTGGTGCTTCCCTTCAGGGCACTCATTGTCACCATCCCCAGGGCTCACTTTGGGTTCTGCTCGACAGCAGGAGCTGGCTGCATCAGCAATCAGAACCAAAAGGCACAGAATCACAGAATGGTTGGGGTTGGGAGGGACCCTAGAGGTGATCTTGTACCTACCCAATGTCACTGTCATATTTTCTGGAAAATCTCTTTGCCCAGGATTCTTCTCCTGGGAAGCTGAGAAGCCTCAGAGAAAAATGAAAACAATAATGATCTGATTTGCTTCTCCAGTGTTTTGCTGCTTTGGAATGTAGTTTGGACATTGTTTACCAACAGGTGGTTGTTTCATTGGTTGCATGTGAATTGTTTTTATTTATTGGCCAATTATGGCCAGCTGTGTCAGGACTCTGAAGGGAGAGTCATGGGTTTTCATTATCATTCTTTGTAGCCTTCTGTCTGTATCCTTTCTCAATTCTTTAATATTCTTTTAGTATAGTTCTAGTATAGCATTCTTTAATATCATATAATATCATAAAATAACAAATTAGCCTTCTGAGAACATGGAGTCAGATTCCTTCCCTCCTCCTCCACCCGGGGACCCCGAAATCACCCCAGCCAAGGGCAGGGACCCCCAAACACACTCACGTGTGCAGATTTCACTCGATCCATGCCACACCCCGTTCGCCCCACAGGTGAGGACGTTTGGAGTGCGAGCATTTCTGCCATAGCCTGGCCTGCAGACAAACTCCATCGTGTAGCCATAGGGGAAGAGCTCGGTGCCCTCCAGGCTCTCCTTGGGCTCTGCTGACGGCGAGCGCGGCGGGGCGGCGCAGCGACCTGGGGACACAGAGCCCGCGTCACCTCGGGGTCTCCTCTTGTCCTTCTCTGGTTGGTGTGGTTGGGAGGATCCCGAGGTGTGTCTCTGTTAAAAGTCTCTTTTCCCCAACCCAGCAGCCGAAGAAGGAGTCGAGAAGTCTTCGGTTCATGTTCTCAAGGTTGTTTATTATTTCTTTGTCTCAAACATTTTCTGTCTGGCCTGCCAAGGTCTGTTCTGCAGGTCGGTCTGAGGCACACTCTCACCTCTCGGGCTGGTGCTATCTTGTATACTAAAAACTATGTATACTATGTTTACAATTATGTTCCAATTCCTATCACCTGTGTTAGACAGTGACTTTCTACTTAAGATACTGTAATATTGGCTTTTCACAGATATGAAAATGGCTTTATATGTGTAATGTCAAAGTAAGTTTATTATAAAGATATGGTTTTTGTTTCTGTTGTTAATTAAGCTTAGGCATAGTAGTGAAATAGCTGATACAAATGTGCTTGTGTTAAAATGCCTGCTTGGATGGGATAACATCCAATGAACACAGGACAAGGATACTGCTACAGATCTGCCAGCCATCAGCACTCCCTGTCTAAGGCAGTGAGGACCAAGGACCAAAAACTGGAGGTGATAACAAAGGACTAAAAACCACAACCAAAAAATCCACATGCTCTGAAAAGGTGGATCCAAGGAAGAACCAGGCTAAACAATTCTTGGAACATGTAAACTTCTTGGGGAAAAGTTTGCTATGCATAAGGGTCCATGAATATGCAACAGGCTGATGTAATTAAAAGGTATTTAAGGGGTATCCCCAAAGATAACAGGGTGCTCTTGGCTAAGTGCCAACCCTAATAACCTTTGCTCCATGGTCCTCATTTCCCATTGTCCTTTACTAAACTTTTTACATTTTCACAGGAGAGTGAAGGTGCTTTTCACACCCCATCAGAAACATGCTGCCAGCAAAGCCAGGGGGGGTTCAGGCCAGATTCACCCCAGAGTTCCAGGGGAGGACCCCTCAAAGACTCCTCAAACAAAGAGAAGTGCAGCTTGTGGATCTCCAGTCCTGCTCCCCACAGATTCAAAGGCTGGACACAGAGTCCAGATGAAGCTTTTCTAAAGTCCAGATGAAGCATTTCTTCTCCCCACTTAGTATAAATTATTGCACTTTTCCAGCTAAAATAGTTTTGTACTTGCTTCCCACAGAAAGGGGGGGGGGAAAAAGGCAAAGGAAGATCTGATCACAAAGATTTACAGAGACCTTGAAATGCACAGGCAATGAGGAAAACAGAAGGATCCAAGCCTGGTAAAACCCAGGAGAAAGTTTTCCTCCAGGGGGTCTTGGTTTATCCTGGTGGACTCGTTCACTTACTGTGGACAGTGGCAAGGAGAGCAGCAGTGAGGAGTGACCCAAGGACAGCTGCACAGCTCCTCTGCCTCCCCAGCTCCACAGCTGACATGTTTATCCCTGCCTGGAGGTCCCACAGATGTCACATTCCCTTCCTGTGAAGACAGCAGAGGGGTATTTGGGGGTATTTATACTCAGCTCTATGCACAGGTCTGATTTCTGCACCCCTGAGCAGTTCCTACAGTCAGGAGGAGCAGGAGCTGAATTTATTTTCTGGAAATTTAGGAGTAAACCACTTTAGTTGTAGTAATAAATCTCTTGGAAGGAAATTCCTAGTCAGGAGAAATCCTGCTGGGGTCACCAGAAGAGTTCCCTAACAATGAGTCACCCTCAGGGAGAGAGAGAAGTATCCAAGCAAAAAGTTCCATGTCTATGCAAAAATTCTCTGAATAAAGGGAATATTTCAAGCTGTAAAGCTCACGGGTCAATCAAAACAAACTGCTTTACAAAATGGAATTTAAGTGCAATTTGCACTCACCTGGCACCCTTAGGGAGCTGGAAGAGCCCCCTCTGTGATATCCAGGGTCATTCATGAGCCTGAACCCTCCCAAAGCTCCAGAATCTCCCAGTGCCTCCTGAGAATGAGGGTCCCCCTCGCTGCTCCCTGCCCTGACCCCAACACCTCCCATGCCTGCTTCCCTCCTCTGCCTTTCTTTCAGCCCTTCTCACACCTCCTGCTTTAATCTGGTTTAATTTCCTGACCTGGGTGCTCCCTGCCCTGACCCCAACACCTCCCATGCCTGCTTCCCTCCTCTGCCTTTCTTTCAGCCCTTCTCACACCTCCTGCTTTAATCTGGTTTAATTTCCTGGCCTGGGCTCCTGCTGGAGCTGCACAGGAGCTCCAGCCCAGCTCCCTGGAGCAGCCCTTGGAGCTGCCAGGCTGGGAATTGTCTTACCTGGAGCTGTGGAGGCAGAAGATGGAGAGCCCCGGCGTGTTCAGCACTCACAGGATGGAGCAGGGACTGCTCTCCTCCAGCCCCCCGGGCAAAGGAGGAGTTTTACAGAGCCCACATGATCAGATCTGGCCCCACAGAGAGAAACTTCAATTCTGCAGAAAGCAGAGCTGGCCCGTTGACCCATAAATCATTAACTCCTCCCGAGCAAGAAGGAAGGAGTTTATTCCACCCCCAGAGCAAAACACTACAAAACTGAATGCAACCCAAGCAGATGTTGAAATTGTTTGGTTTTTATGTGTGGAGGTGCCAAGTCTGAAATCATCCTTGCTGAGCTGCTCCATTGGGACCTCGGGCTCACTGAGGGATGTCCTCAGGTGTGGCAGTCAAATTTTCTGGAAAAATCCCTTTGCCCAGGATTCTTCTCCTGGGAAGCTGAGAAGCCCCAGAGAAAAAGGAAAACAGTATTACCTCATTTGCTTCTCCTGTGTTTTGCTGCTTTGGGACGTGGTTGGAGATTGTTTAATCTAATGTGGTTGGTGATTGTTTCATTGGTTTGGTGTGAATTGTTTTACATATTGGCCAATTGGGACCAAGCTGTGTCAGACTCTGGAAGGAGTCCCGAGTTTTCAATATTATCTTTTAGCCTCTCAGTATCCTTTAGTCTCTCAGTATCCTTTCTGTATTCTTTAGTATAGTTTAGTTTAGTATTCATTAATATAATATAGATCATAAAATAATAAATCAGCCTTCTGAGAACATGGAGTCAGATTCATCATTCCTTCCTTCATCTGGGAACCCTGCAAATACAAGACTCAGGGGAGCTGCTTCACCCCAGGGCAAGGCCACCCTGAGGTCATCCCCTGTGGCCTCAGGAAGCCATGGCCAGCATTCCAAAAGGGGTTTCTGCAGCCAGCCCCACCCAAGCCACGGGAGCAGCCCCAGCTGGAGCTCAGCAGCTCACGAGGGCCCGGGAGCACCGCTCGGAGCTGAACACGCAGAGAATTCCAGAATTTGCTTGGAAAGGACCTTAAAGCTCAGTTCCACGGAAACCCTGAGATCCTGACCTCCAGGAAAAACACCCTTAAAACTGAGGAGAGAAGGGGAACAGCAGTAGGGTTTAAGAGCTCCCATTTTCAACTCAGATTCCCAAAGCAGAGGACACCTGCCCACCCCTGCAGCCCCTCTTCCTCCAAACACATCCCAGAGACTCCCCGAGCTCCTCAGAAAACCAGCACACAGTGGAGAGTCAGAGCAAACAATGGAAAAGAACAGAGTACGTTATCTGTGTTTTTTTAAGTATTACCTCATTTGCTTCTCCTGTGTTTTGCTGCTTTGGGACGTGGTTGGAGATTGTTTAATCTAATGTGGTTGGTGATTGTTTCATTGGTTTCATGTAAATTGTTTTACATATTGGCCAATTGGGACCAAGCTGTGTCAGACTCTGGAAGGAGTCCCGAGTTTTCAATATTATCTTTTAGCCTCTCAGTATCCTTTAGTCTCTCAGTATCCTTTCTGTATTCTTTAGTATAGTTTAGTTTAGTATTCATTAATATAATATAGATCATAAAATAATAAATCAGCCTTCTGAGAACATGGAGTCAGATTCATCATTCCTTCCTTCATCTGGGAACCCTTAGGTGATTGGCTTCAGGGGAGCTGCTTCACCCCAGGGCAAGGCCACCCTGAGGTCATCCCCTGTGGCCTCAGGAAGCCATGGCCAGCATTCCAAAAGGGGTTTCTGCAGCCAGCCCCACCCAAGCCACGGGAGCAGCCCCAGCTGGAGCTCAGCAGCTCACGAGGGCCCGGGAGCACCGCTCGGAGCTGAACACGCAGAGAATTCCAGAATTTGCTTGGAAAGGACCTTAAAGCTCAGTTCCACGGAAACCCTGAGATCGTGACCTCCAGGAAAAACACCCTTAAAACTGAGGAGAGAAGGGGAAGAGCAGTAGGGTTTAAGAGCTCCCATTTTCAACTCAGATTCCCAAAGCAGAGGACACCTGCCCACCCCTGCAGCCCCTCTTCCTCCAAACACATCCCAGAGACTCCCCGAGCTCCTCAGAAAACCAGCACACAGTGGAGAGTCAGAGCAAACAATGGAAAAGAACAGAGTACGTTATCTGTGTTTTTTTAAAGTCTCTTTATTGTAAATAAACACTGACAGAGATTTATGCTCAAGTGCACAGAGCACACAACACACAGCACGAGCTGACAGACACTGCAGCTTTTAAACATAAAAAAAAACACTTAGAAGGCAGCAGAGCAGGAAAGTTCACAAGCAGCTGGGTAAGATCCCTCTCACCAAACACTCCAGGCAGAGCTGCAGTGCAAACAGAGCAGGGGGACAGCAGGGGTGGCACTGGCACTGCTCACCCAGAGCCCCTCAGAGGGGCACGGGGTGAGGCTTGGGGACACCCCAGGGTGGCTCTGGCCAGGCTGGTGCTGGTGCCTCTCCTCCCTCAGTTCCCCCTTGGCAGCCAGCCAGGCTGGGTTGAACTCTTGTCCCCCATTTTGCAGTTTTTCCCAGAGATGGAGCAGTTTTTAGCTCCTTTTTCTCTGCAGTGACACACAGGGGCAGGCAGGTCCCACTGGAGGGGACAGCAGCCAGCTCCACCTGTGCTGCTTGAAACAGGGGCACAGAAAGTCAGGGGGTCACAAAACCCCTCCAGTGCTGGGGAAATGCTCAGGAAGGTGCCAGGCTCACATCCACACCTCCAAATCTACCTCCAAACCCACCTCTGATCCCACTGACAGCACCAGCTGGGCAGGTGGAGGTGAGTTTGGAGGTGGATTTGGAGGTATGGAGGTGGATTTGGAGGTGTGGAGGTGGGTTTGGAGGTGTGGATGTGGATTTGGAGGTGGGGTTGGACGTTTGGAGGTGGATTTGGAGGTGTGGAAGTGGATTTGGAGGTGGGTTTGGAGGTGTGGATGTGGATTTGGAGGTGAGTTTGGAGGTTTGGAGGTGGGTTTGGAGGTGTGGATGTGGATTTGGAGGTGAGTTTGGAGGTTTGGAGGTAGATTTGGAGGTGTGGATGTGAGCCTGGCACCTTCCTGAGCATTTCCCCAGCACTGGAGGGGTTTTGTGACCCCCTGACTTTCTGTGCCCCTGTTTCAAGCAGCACAGGTGGAGCTGGCTGCTGTCCCCTCCAGTGGGACCTGCCTGCCCCTGTGTGTCAGCTGCTGAGCTGTCCCACCAAAACCACCTCAAAAACCCCGGTTGTGCAACGTTTGTTTGTTCTGGGGTGTTTGCACGGCCAGTGCCAAGGAAATCAGGTGGTTTCAAGGAAATCCCTGGCACAGGGAGCTGCCAGGAGATGCCCACTGGCATCACCCCAGCCCTGCAGCCCCGAGGGCTCAGCAGGACCCTCAGGGATCTGCTCCCAAATCTGCTGCTGCTCTGCCCCAGACGTGTTTGCTTTAAACCTTCTCAAGGCTAAAACGCAGGAGGAAAAAGCTTTAATTAAAGCACTGAGGCACAAACACTGCAGAGAAGGATTAAATTCCATCCCACAGCCCCAAAAGGGACCCCCAGCCACTGACCCAAACTGCAAAACACCTGATTTTCAGCAGTGATTAAAAAAAACCCTCACAACCACCAACAACACATCAACAGCAACATTCACAAATCCCAGCAGGTAAAAATATAGATTTTTGTCTCCTTACAATCATTTACTGCTCAGTGACATGAACTTCACGAACTCTTCAGCAAGTTATCCCAGCATTTTTGTGCGTAAACATCCTACAGTGCATTTTCCACTCCTTTTTCCACAGAGCAGGAGGGGTTTGGTCAGAGCAGCCAGCCTGACAAGGACGGGTTTGTGCGTTCAGAGCACTTTGGAGTGTGGCAGTGAGGACTGCCATGGAAATCTCTTCCTTCAACATTTTTTTTTTCTGGTTTATTTCTAAGCACAAAAAGATTTAAAACCGAAAACCAGACCTGGGTGGTGAAACCCTGAGGAGAAAAACTATTAAAAACTCAGTTTCTCACCACCAAATTTCACCCCTCTGTGGCACAATCGCTTTAGATCAACAGGTTTTTCTGCTCCTCAGAAATCCTGAGGGGTCCAGATTTGTGCCTTGGTCCTCTCCATCTCAGTTTTATCAAATTACAGCTCTGGGAGTGTTTAAAACAACCAAGTTTGAGCTCAAAATACCCAAGTTAAACTCAAGCTCTGGGGTTGCTGAGCTCCTCCACAGCCAGGGCACAGTTTCCCTGCTGTGGGTATATCCAGCATTTATTTACACATTTAAAATAAGCAACTTCTGGGGCCCAGAAATGCTCAGAGAAATCCTGGAGTCACCTGGAACAGCAGGTCCAGAACAGCCTCCTGCTCTGTACCCAAATGTTCCTTTCTTCACCCAACCTGAGGGTGCTGCCCTTATTGCAAGAACAGCTGGAGTGGGGTAAAATGGAGTTTGGCAAAATGCAAGTCAAGACTTGTGGGAGAGAACTGAAAATTTGGGGTTTGGTGGGGATTTAAGGGAAGGATTTAAGTTAAGACACAGAGCTGCACCATACTCTACAACAGCTTAAAACTATGAAAGGCAGCACTGGGAACATTCACAGCTTATTCATAGGCAAGTTAAAAGCTTCTTGTGGGCCTAAAATTTGATGTAAAATAAAGAAAACTTTTAAAAATCTTGTGCTTCCTACAAACCATGCCCCTGCTGGTCTCAGCCATGCTCCCATTTTCTGGGGTAAATGGATAAAACACCCCCAAAATGCAGGAAAAATGAGTGAGAGGATGGAGTTTAGGTAGGGAGGAGAAGGTAAAATAGGGCTTGAGGTGGGATTTAAAGCACTGGGAGCTGTGCTGCCTCCAGAGAGGGGCAGGAGGGTTAATTCCCTCACAGGAGGCAGCCCGTGGGATGGATGTGCTGACCTGGGTGTCACATCCAAGCAGAAGCCTGGAACAAGCATCCAAGCAAAAAGGAACTGGCTCAGATTGGGGGATTCACACCAGCACTCAAGGAGGGAAAATCAAGCCCTACCTGGAGCTCCCTGGGTGGCTGAAAACCAGAAAAAAATTGAGTTTGAACTTGGAAATAACTTGGAAACGGAGAAATAAAACCTCGGGGATTTGGCCTGGAAACGCCTTTTCCGAAGAAAAGCTGCCTCAGTGAGCAAAAACATGACTATTTTGTCCTCCCACTGTGGTTAATTTTGGCACCTGGCCAGGAGGAAAGACGTGGGACACTATTCCAACAC